CTGAACAGGTTTTGCATCCAGTTGGACAAGCAGTACAAGTCATGTTTATTGAATTTTTATAAAAACCTGATGGACAATTAGAGCTACATGTATTCCCTTAAAGATAAAGATTTTATGCGCAAGAAAGACAACTAGTAGGAGTAGATGTGCATGTAGCGCAAGGAGAAGCACATGAAGGATTAATACATGTTGTTGAACTCATAATATAACTAGATATACAACCAGTGCAATTAGTATAACTAATACAATTAGAGCATCCATCAGGACAATTCTAACAAGTCTTTGTAGTTTCATCAGCAAATTATCCACTTGGGCAAGTTGCAACACATGAACCATTACTTAAATATGTCAAAAATTGGCATGCTTTACATTAATTATTGCTTGGACCCGAGCACTATGAGCAAGAAAAGTCACATTACTTGCATAAACCTGTAGCTGAATCTGGATAAGTTCCATTTTGGCAGGTTGGCCTACATACCTTTTAATGATTATTATTAAATTAGTTTTTTTTTTAAATAGATTAAGTGGGTATTTATTTTTCTAAAAATGGTTCATTTGAAAAATTCTAATTTAATTCAAAATTTTTTGAAAAAATTTAAATAAAAATTTATTCTGAAATAAATAGATTAAATAATAATATATTTAAAAAAAATAAAATGAATTACATTATCAGAGTTACCAAAAGTTCCGTTTGGGCATGAAGACACACATGCTCCAACTTAGTTAATAAAACCATTACACTATTAATTACAATCAACACCTCCAAAACCTGGATTACACAAGCATTATCCTCTAATGCAAATACCATTGTAAGTACAAAAGTTTACACACTATTAATCATCACATAGTCTTCGAATATTAGATGGACATGTTATTTGACCTAATTTAGTTCCTTAATAGACTACATCCTTTGAATTTCCTTAATCGCTAATTCCACAAACGACTTGAGTACTCGGAATTTGAGAGAAATTAATTGTTAGTTATGATTTATCAGGAGAACACTAAGTAAAATGGCATCTAAGTTTATCATTGTAGTTATTTTATTTAGCAGTAGGACTGTAAACAGTAGAAGTAAAACATTTAGAATTGTAAGAAAAATCATTTGAAGTATCAGTGTAATATGATGGAGGATTAGCTTACTAACTTTAATTAGCTATATCACTGCATAAAAGATTATAATCAATTTCAACTACATTGCAACTGTCACCAAAAGGATCACTATTTGCCCCTTAGCCTTACCCATCACCCCAAAAAGAGCAAGCTGTTTAACCAGAACTTACAAACTCTTCATATTGAATAGAACTTTTGCAAGCATTTTCGAAGAAGTCGCAACCTTTACCTTTTCCCCAATAGATAGGATCAGTTAAATTTTCATTTACATCATCCCAATATCCAGTATCTTTGAGAAGAGCGACAGTAAAGATACTTAAATTTAAGCCTTCTAGAAGAGCAGATGCTGTCATTAATTCACTCCTGATAACTGTTCTTTCCCAATGTGAGTTCTTAGATCCCGAATCACCCTAAATAAATTAACAAAAGTAAATAAAAAATGAAAATACAAACAATAAAATAAAATCATTTTTTTTTATTTTATACTTAAAATAAACATATCCTAATTACTTAATTTTCTAATTGCATTCCTTGTAAGGTTTGGCATCCATAGTATTTTTGTGCTGTAGCTAATACATTTGGAGATCCTAATAAACTTGTCTATATTCCTCTAAGAGTTTGAGTAGTAATTAATTTGTTTGCTGCTGCTTAGCCTAAGAGTTAATTAGTAGCTTTATTATACCAGTTCATCATCGCATCATCAGAAAAACCAAGGATATGGACGACTTCATGTAATGTTACCATAACATCATTTTAATATTACTCCAGATTAGAACCAGAATTCTTCATATTAGCAATGTTAAATAAGACTCTTCCAAAATTTGGTCTTATATATGTAGAGCTACTTTAAAGATTGCAAGAGGCTGCATTTGCTAAATATCCTTCTTTTGCTTCATTATTAAAAATGAAATATAAATGAAGATCTGATTAAGCAATACCTGTGGTTAAATCATTTTATAAAGGAATAACTTCGATACAAGTATTACTTTATGAAGCATCAAATTTATTATTGCTAAGGTTTGGTTAAACTTTGATGAAATTAGAAAGAAAATTAGCAACAGTAGTTCCAACAGAAATTAAATATTTAATTTAATCTTCAGAGATAGCTGGCCCTCCTGGTTGTGAAGATAAACGAGTAAAGTCTGTTGTAACCCTGATAGGTTAAATAGTTTAAGCGCCTAGATTTCTATCTTAATTATCTAGAGAGTAGTTGATAGGATTCTATTTAAAGTATTCATGAAGCTTTTATTAAGTTTCTTTAATCTTATCATTATAATTATGCGAGCAAGTATGTTTATTATGAGCAAATGCATAATTATTAGAGGCGAAAAAGAAGGAGAGAATCAAAATATTGAAAAGAGCAGTTCTTCTAAAGCTGATCATTTTTTTAAGATTTTTTGTTTTTCTTACTTTTTTAATTTATCTGAGTAGAGTTTATTATTTGATTAAGTATAATATTTTTTTGTGTGTTAGTATTTAATGACCAACGATTAAGTCTAAGATATATGTGTTACAATAAAAAACAATCAATTTGTTAATAAAATAAAATTCGACTTTTCTAAAATATAACCATATAAAAGTAAAAAAAATAAGTATTAAATGAAATTAATTTTTATTTAAATAAGCACTAAATTAAAAAAATCCAATGGTAAAAATACTAATATAGATTAAATCATAAATAAACTTGATTTATATAATATTTATTTATCTTCTAAATAATAAACATAGAAAGAAGTACTTCAAAAAGATATTTTTTTATTTTGTTTAAAAATGGTAAAAATAAATATATTAACCAATATTTTAAATTTCTTTATATATCAAACCCCTCCTCAGTTTTTGCAAATATTAAAAATGATTTTTAATAGATATCTAAAATAAAGTTAACGTTACAAATAAAAATACTATCCATATATTTTATGTATTTATTTCTAAGGTTGAAATAGGAAATTAAATTTTTAGTAATCTTGTATTTACCTTTAGAGCATTAAATAAATTTTTAATTAAATTCACCTAAAAAATAACCTTAATCACATTAGGCTACACAAGAGTTAGATTGAAAATAAAATACTTAGTTGCTAAATGAATAAAAAATACAAGAATATGTGATTAATTATTGATAGATAAATTTCTTTAAAATACTTTGGGAAATGAAATAGAAAAGAAATTTTTATCATTTTGAATTTTGAGATAAATTAATGATTTATTACACATATTAAAAACCAATTTTGAAAACTTGCATTTTTTTTGTAACTTAATGATAATATAAATTCTTCAAAAAACAAATCAAATAATTGATGGTATTTAGTTCATTGAATTCAAAATCTTTATATGATTTGGCATAAAGTGGTAGCAAATTTAACTAAAATCTTATTAAAAATGTGAGAAAATCCAAAACTTATTATTTACATAATAAAATTAGTATTCCATATTCAAATTTAATGTATTGCCAGAATTTAAAAGAATAAAAGGAATACAAAAAAAATTTAAACCAGATATTTTATGTATTTGTTTCTTTGAAGATTCAGTTAGAAAATTATATTTTTATAATTTAGCATTGCATTTAAAGGAATAAAGAATTTGAATAGATAATAATATAATGATAGATAATTTACCTTATAATACTTTGTAATATGAAATAGAAAGAAATTTGTATTATTTAAAGATAAGTTATTGATTAATTAAAAAATATAATACAAATAGTATTTTTCTTGTAATCTATTAAGATATCCAAAATCTTTAATAAACTACACAAATCTTTTAAGATAGATATTTAGTTTGTCGAATTTCAAATTATTAATAAGACAGTAAATTTAACTAAAATCTAATTTAAAATTAGAAAAAATCCTAACCTTATTAATTCTAAAATAAAATTTCAAATTTAACTTTTTACCAGAATTTAAAAGAAAAAAATGCAAAACTTATAAGCTAAAAATGAATTAATAACTGAAGTTATGTTTAGTAACATTTCTGAAAACAGTGAAGAGATATTGAAATTTTTTGTTCCATTTTAATTACATATTACTTATATTATTTAAAATTGTATATTTTTAAACTATTTTACTTCAAGCCACAATATTTTTAAAATTTTTATAAGAATATATTTTAACTAGGAGACCCTTACTTAATTTTTTTGATTATTTTAACTATTTTATTTTCTCAAATATAACAAATTTAAGATTATACAAAAAGATGAATAAAGTATTTAATTAAAAAAGTATAATTGTGTTCTAAATAATTTCTAATTTTACAAAAATCCTTCTATTTTGAAGTAAATAATCAATAATAAAGGTTTTCTTAAACTAAATTAAATTCCTTTATAAGTTATTACAAACTTAGATCCTTATTTACAATATTTTTCTTCTTTTTTTTAAAAATAGAGAAACATTCATAAACAGTCATTAAAAATTTTTTTAACACTTTCTATTACTCTGATGTATTTTGTATCTACCGCAAAAATTTTATTCTCAAAATTTAAAATAAATTTAATAATATCTATTCAAACATTGGTTTTGCCGAAATTTTATGAAAATAGAATTAAATCACTGGTTTATATTCAATCACTTTACTTTAGCATTATAATATTTATAACTCAACAAAATATTCTAAAAATTCAACTCTGAAAATTTAATATGATATATTCTTGCTTTAAAATATAAGAAAATATATAATTTATTTTATAAAGGCTTATAATAAATAATGTTTTTCATCCTTATTTTACTAATTAGATTGCTTCTCTTTAATAATAATTAAGATTAAGTATTAATTTATTAATAATATCATATTTTTATAATTTTTACTATAATATATTATAAAACTTAAAAAAAACATATTATTTTTAATTTTATATAAAAAAGTATTTTCTTGATAAAGATTGATTAATTTGTAATTGGTCAAAAAGATAATACTATCAATATAACCAAAAATAATATTGCAAACTATTATTTAAAACCTTAGGTTTCTATATATTTATTAATTTAAGTACATATTTAGTTATTGTTTGTGAACCCTTGTGGACATTTTGCAACACAGCTATTTAAAGACAAGATCTAGTTATTATATTTTAAAATTAATATTAGTATTTAATTGCAAAAATTGGAAAGACATATATTTAAATTTATTTAAAAAAATAGTTTTGTTACATAATTATTAGAGCAAGCTGAGCAGCTAGTAGGTCCAGAACAAGCACTACAATTAGAAGGACATTATGTGCACATCTAATTATATTAATTGGCAAAATATCCTTTATTACATTAAGCTACACAAGAAGAATCTTGTAAATAAAAGCTTTTATTACATGAAGCGCATGTTTTAGGCTAAAATACACCTTAACATGTAGAGCAAGGAGAAAAACAAGAAGATTAAGAAATGCAAATTTATACATTATTATATGTAAATAGCTGATAGTTGGCATTACAAGAAATACACGAATTTCCATCTAAGCATTAATTGCATCCATTAATGCATGGAGAACAAGTATAGTTTAGACCATTGTAAAATCCATTTGTGCAAGTAGAGACACATTTATTATTTAATAAATACATATTATTCTCACATGATAAACAAATGCTAGGATTTATCTAAGAGCAAGTGGCGCAAGGTGATACACAAAGAGTACAAGAACTACCTTAAAGTCTATATCCATTTAGACTATCACATTTTGTGCAAGTCTTAGCATCAGAACAACTAATACAACCAGCTGGACATGCAGTACAAATCATGTTTGAATTATTTTAGAAATACCCTGAAGGGCATGAAGAGTCACATGTATTATGAGGAGATAAATAAAGACCACCTATGCAAGAAATGCATTGTGTGGGATCAGAAGTACATGAAGCACATGTAGTTGCACATTAAACAGCTGTACATTTTTGCCCAGACAACTAAAACCCATTTTGGCATTAGCTACAAATAGTAGAACTAGTGCATTTAGAACATTCGTTAGGACAACTTTAGCAAATTTTTGAAGTTTGATCAGCATATTTGCCATCAGAACATGTTAAAACACAGTTATTTTATTGCAAATACTTTTTAAAAAGAAAAAAATTTTTTTATTGACAATTTAAATAAATTTATATTTAAAAAAGTTACATAATTATTGGAGCATAAAGTGCAGCTTCCTGAATTTGAGCATTTAGCACAGCCATTAGAGCATTAAGTACATCTTTATTTAGATTAATCTAAAAAATAACCTTAATCACATTAGGCTACACAAGAGTTAGCTTGTAAATAAAATCCTTAGTTGCAAGATGAACAAGTGGTTGGTTGGAATGTTCCAATGCATGTAGAGCAAGGAGAAAAGCAAGAAGAAGAACTGATACAAATTTAAACATTATTTTAAGGGAATAGTTTATAATTATTACTACATGAAGTACATGATACTCCATCAGAACATTAGCTGCAACCACTAATACATTGAGAGCAAGTATAATTTGGTCCATTATAATATCCATTTGTACAAGAAGAAACACATTAATTGTTTAGTAAATACATTTTATTTTCACATGACAAACAAGAATTAGGATTAGAAGTAGAACAAGTAGCACAGGGATATACACAAAGAGTGCAAGAGTTGCCTTAAAGCCTATATCCGTTTGAATCATCACATTTTATGCAAGTCTTAGCATCAGAGCAACTAATACAACCAATTGGACATGCAGTGCAAGTCATATTCGAATTATTTTAGAAATATCCTGTCGGGCATGTAGAAACGCATGTGTTCTAAGGAGATATATAGAGATTACCTATACAAGTAGTACAATGTGATGGATCAGAAGTACATGAAGCACAAGGGTTTGTACATTAAGAAGATGTGCATTTTTATCCTGAAAACTAAAACCCATTTTGGCATTAGCTACAAATAGTATAACTAGTGCATTTAGAGCATCCGTTAGGACAGTTTTAGCAAGTTTTTGAAATTTGATCTGTATATGTTCCATCAGGGCAAGTTTAAACACAATTATTTTGTAGCAAAAACTTTTTTTAATAATAATCAAATTATTTTTAATGAAAATTTTTATTATTAAAAGAATTAATTAAATTTATCAAGAAAAAACTATTACATAATTATTTATACATGCTGCACAAGTAGTTGAATTTGAGCATTTAGCACAACCATTCGAGCATTAAGTGCATCTTTAATTAGGTTAATCTAAAAAATAGCCTTAATCACATGAGGATACACAAGAGTTAGCTTACAAATAAGATCCTTATTTACAAGATGCGCAAGTGGTTGGTTGGAATGTTCCAATGCATGTAGAGCAAGGAGAAAAGCAAGAAGATGAACTGATACAAATTTAAGTATTATTTTAAGTGAATAGTTTATAATTATTACTACATTAAGTACATGATACTCTGTCAGAACATTAACTGCACCCAGTAATACACTGAGAGCAATTATAATTTGGTCCATTGTAATATCCATTTGTACAAGAAGAAACACATTAATTGTTTACTAAATACATTTTATTTTCACAAGAAAAGCAAGAATTAGGATTAGAATAGGAACAGGTAGCGCATGGCGATACACAAAGAGTACATGCATTTCCCTAGATTCTGTATCCTATGGAAATATCACATAAAGTGCATGTATTAGCATCTGAGCATTAAGAACATCCAGTTGAACAAGGGTCACAAGTCATATTTTAATTATTTTGGAAATAACCTGCAGGGCAAGAAGAGACGCAGGTATTTTAAGATGTAAGAAAAAGACCATTTATACATGATGTACAATATTTTGGATCAGAGCTACATGAAGCACAAGGAATTGTGCATTAAAAAATAGAAGTACACATTTATCCAGATAATTAAAATCCAGTTTTGCACTAACTACAAGTAGTAGGACTTGTACAGGTCTAACATCCATTCGAGCATGGTAAACAACTTTTTGAAGGTTCATCAGGGTAAGTTCCAGAAGGGCAGGAGGTTACGCAAGTACCGAAAAATAAGTAAGTTAAAAATTGACAAGCTTAACATTAATTGCTTCTTGGACCTGAACATTAAGAACAAGAAAAATCACATTATTTACATACACCACTATTGTTATCAGGATAAGTTCCAATTGGGCATGTAGATCTGCAAACCTAAAATGTATTTGAATTAAAGTTATTTATTTTTAAATATTATAATATCTAAAAGTCATAGTGAACCCAAAAAAAAAAAATTAATTAAAGTTTTCTAAATTAAAGAAATTCAAATTTAATAAAATATAATTAAATTTAATTTAAATAAATTAAAAAAGCACTTTACTTTATCAAAATTAGCATATGTGTTACTAGGACATTGGTTCTAACAATTTCCATCCTAATCAATAAAGTTAGAGCATTATTTACTGCAATCAACACCTCCATAACCAGGATTACATAAACATTATCCTCTTATGCAAATACCGTTATAACTGCAAAAGTTAACACATTTTTAGTCATCACATAATCTTTAAATACTTGATGGGCATGTTACTTAACCTAAAGTATTTCCCTTAAAGATCACATTCTTTAGACTACCTTAATCACTAGTACCACAAACTATTTTAGTATCAGGTATTTACGAGAAAGTAATGGTAACTTATGTCTTATCAGGTGTGCATTAGTAAAAATGGCACCTAAAATTTTTAATTTCATTATGGTTTTAAGCAGTAGGACTGTAAACGCTTGAAGTGAAACATTTAGAATTATATGAATAATCGTTTGAAGTATCAGCATTAAATGAAGGAGGATTAGTCTATTAACTTTAATTTGCTATATCACTACATAGATTATTACTGTAGATCTCAATAACACTGCAATTATCACCAAAACGATCAGAAGTAGAACCTATACCTTATCCATCACCCCAAAATGAGCAACCTTTTTAATTTGCTGTAGCAAATTCTTCATATTGAGTAGAGCTTTAGCATGCATTTTGAAAGAAATCGCAACCTTTATTTCTTCCCCAATAAATTGGATCAGATAAATTTTCATTAACATCATCCCAATATCCAGTATCTTTGAGAACTGCAACAGTGAAAACAGTCAAATTTAAGTCTTCTACAAGCGCAGATGGTGTCATTAATTCACTTCTGATGATTGTTCTTTCCCAATGCGAATTTTATGAACCTGGGCCTCCCTAAATAGACCAAATTGAATGAAAAATTAATTAATATTAAGTAGTTATTTTTATGGATATTAAATTAAATTACTTGATTCTCCAATTACATTCCTTGTAATGTTGGACATCCATAGTATTTTTTTGCAGTAGCTAAAACGTTAGGAGATCCTAGTAAATTAGTTTGTATCCCTCTAAGAGTTTGAGTACTAATTAATTTATTAGCTGCTTCTTATCCTAATAACCAATTTGATGCTTTATCATACCAGCTTTACATAGCTCCATAGGAAAAACCAAGAACGTGAATAATTTCATGCAAAGTGATCATAACATCATTTTAAAATTACTCCAAATTAGTACCAAAATTCTTCATATTAGCTATGTTAAATAAGACTCTTCCAAAATTTGGTCTAAGATAAGTTTCTCCTTGTTAAAGATTGCAAAAGCCTGCATTTGCTAAAAACCCGGCATCTGGATCACTGGTATAAATGAAATACAAATGTAGATCCGAATCAGAAACACCATCTGTTCTATCTTTTTTTAAAGGTTTTACTGTTATACAAGTTCCATCAATACTTTATTTAGGATCAAAGATATTATTGCTTGTGTTTGGTTAAACTTTGATAAAATTAGAAACAAAGTTAACAACAGTAGTAGATACAGTTTTCAGATAATTAACTTAATTATTAGTAATGGGTGGTAATTCTGGTTTTGGAGATAATCTTGAAAAGTCAGTAGTTATTCTTATTGGCTGAATAGTTTAGGCACCTAAATTTCTTTTTAATTTATCTTCTGAATAGTTGATTGGGTTTTCTTTAAAGTATTCATGAAGCCTTTAGTATGTTTTACTAATCATTTCATCCGAATCATGAGCACAAGCATGACCAATTTCAGAGTGTGCAATCACAATAAAATTATTGAGATAACAAAAGGCTGCAAATAATAGATAGACAAAAGTGAAGCTCTTCTAATTTACCATCATCAAATTAATTATTTATTTTTTTTAGTTGATTTTATTTGAAAATAAATATAATAAGGATAAAGGAATAACCTTTCAGATGTGTAAATCGTCAATTTAATTAAACTCAAAACTATTTTTGATTAAGTGATAAAATTTATTTTGTTTAATAACAACACTAATGCTTTAATTTAGACAAATAAATAATTATCCACTAAATTTCTAGCTAAAATTCAATTAACCGCAAATGATATTTAAAATAGAGTAACTTTTTTATTAAAGAATAAATGAAATATTTATTTATATAATATGTTATTAGATACACTTAAGCCTAACTAAAAGTAAAAAGACTAAGTTTTTAATTTTTCTAAATCTGTAAGTCTTTACTTATAAATTCTGTTGTATGGTTTTTACATACTTTTTTTAGTAACAGTTATTAAAAATAAAATAGACACTTAAAAAAAGTAAATTTAATAGACTTTTTAAACAATATTTTATTTTTTAAAAATAAATGGTGAAAAATGAAATTTTTAATTATATTTTACTAGAAAGAAGTTCAACTTAAAAAATTATTTAAGCATCACAATGATATCATTTTGTGTTAGTGGTTGTTATAAATATTCAAAATTTTTTTAAGCCAAAGATTTGTTTTGTTGGTAAACAATAGAGTTTGATCTAAAAACTCATCAATAAAGTTTACAATGTTTTTATTGGTAATATAAATTAATTATCAAAATATATACTTTTACATGCACTTTTTAGAAATAAAACATCATTTTAAAAATAGTATGATCTTAGATATTTTTAATTTTTATAAGATTAGCTTTTTTTTTTGTGCTAAAATTGATTATTTAAATGTGTAATTTTTTAGAAAATCTAAAATCATATTTGCTTGCTTGACTACAGATATATAAATACAGGTAAAAAATTAAATGTATATTTCTATTCATAAATGTGTAACTCGTAATTTAATTATTTTAGAGACTTTAAAATTTAATTTGTGATACTTATATTTTTTTTAAAGGTAGGTGAGAAATTAATAAAAACTAAGAAGTTTAATATATATTAATGTAATAGATCTTGAATTCGAGGTGATCATTTAGTTCTACTCTTTGCAGCTTATTAAAAAGAGAAGATAAACATGATTTTTAATTATCATAATAAAGATTACAGTAATTATTGATCTTCTTTTAAGAAGGAATAAATCTACTCTGTCCTCATAAAATTATTTTTTATATTTTTTTCTTAAAGCTACACAAAAGATTATTTTTAAAAAGCAATTTGTTGTAGTTTTATTTGTCTAGAATAAATACCATCAAGTTCTTTAGAAGTATTATAATTTGACTAAATAATATAATTTTTACTAATTTTAAAATATGATAAAATTACTAGTTTAAATAATATTATTTTAAAGATTTAAATCAAATATAAATTATTTTTAAGCACACACACATATTTCTCATCATGATTGATCTCATTCATATAATTTAGTTTCTGAATAAACTATACTTATTGTTAGTTTATAATAGAAGATGCAAAATACACTAAATATACTCTAAAAAATATAATAAAAAATAAATTGTTTTAGAATAAGACAATGAATCAAAATTAAAGTAAGCTTTCTAAATTTTTAGTTTATTTTTTAACTAAAAGTGTTCAAATCATTTAAAAAAAGAACTAATATATTCAAACAGTAAATTAAATAAAAATAATTCTCATTTTACTACCTAATCATTCTCTATTTTCAAAGAGAAATTAATTTTTATAATTAATAATTTTCGAATATTCATTCATATTTTTTAGTCAAAATTTATTAAAATTACATTTCTATAAAAAATAATAATAATTATTTAGCTATTAATATTAAATAATAAAGTATTTTTTTTTATTTTAATCATTAAATCCATTTATTTATTACTAATAATTTATTTATGTATAAATCTTAAGAGAGAATATGGTGAAATTTTATTTTAATACATTTGAAAATCTAAAAAAACTTAGATAATGATTTAATTTTTTATAAGAAGAAATATATTTATTTTAAACACATTAAACATAAATATAAATGGGTTACTTTACTCTAAAAATCTGTATTAAGAATTTATTCATATTATCATTTCATTAAAAGAAGTAATTAAAAGAGATACAAATTTTTAAAAAGTAAAGTTACAATATAAAAAACACAATACTTTAACTTAAAAAAAATATTATTGGTTAACAATCTTATAATATTTTTATATAAACTGATCAAAGTGATAAAACAATCATTAAAAGCAAAAGCATTAAAGCAAAATAGTTTCTTTCAGAAAAAGTTTTATCATTTATTAGAACACATATTTGATTGTTATTTCCAGAATACCCATTAGGGCATTACTTAACACAGCTTTTTTGATACAAGAACTAATTAAAAATAAAAAAATTATTAATTCAATAAATTAAAAAATGAACAATTTTATTACGTAGCCGCTTGAGCAAGTTGTACAAGTTGAGGTGTCTTGACAAGCTGAACAATTTGTAGGACATTAGATACATGTTTAAGTAGATTAATTGGCATATAATCCTTAGCTACATTAAACTACACAATTTGTACCTTATAAATAGAAGTTTTTATTGCATGATGCACATGTTGTAGGCTAGAAAGTACCACTACAGGTAGAGCAAGGAGAAAAGCAAGATGAGGAATTAATGCAAACTTGTTAATTTTTATATGTGTAAGGCTTATAATTAGCATTGCAAGTTTTACAAGAATTTCCATCAGAACATAAATCGCATCCATTCATACATGGATTGCAAATGTAGCTTGGACCATTAAAATATCCATCTTAACATTTTGTTACACACTAATTATTAAACAAATACAAGCCATTCTCACAAGATAAGCAACTGCTGGGATTTGATGAAGAACATGTTGCACAAGCTGGTGCACAAAGAGTACATGTATTACCCTATAGTCTATAACCGTTAGAACTATCACATAAAGTACAAGTATTTGCATCTGAACAGGTTTTACATCCAGTTGAACAAGCAGTACAAGTCATGTTTATTGAATTTTTATAAAAACCTGATGGACAATTAGAGCTACATGTATTTCCTGATTAAAGATAAAGATTTTATGCACATGAAAGACAACTAGTAGGAGTAGATGTGCATGTAGCGCAAGGAGAAGTACATGAAGGATTAATACATGTTGTTGAACTCATAGTATAACTAGATTTACAACCGGTGCAATTAGTATAACTAGTACAACTAGAGCATCCATCAGGACAATTCTAACAAGTCTTTGATGTTTCATCAGCAAATTATCCACTTGGGCAAGTTGCAACACATGAACCATTACTTAAATATGTCAAAAATTGGCAAGCTTTGCATTGATTGCTGCTAGGACCAGCGCATTAAGAACAAGAAAAGTCGCATTACTTACATAAACCTGTAGCTGAGTCTGGATAAGTTCCATTTTGGCAGGTTGGCCTACATACCTAAACAGAAATAAATAAAAATAAGTATAAATAGTTATTAATAGGAAAAATTTGTTTTAAGGTGCAAAAAACACTGAATTGAAGTATTTGTTGAATAAAATGCAAAAGTGGTATAATGCTTTTAGATTATATAGGGTTAGTGAATTTAGATAATTCAAAATTTTAGAAAAAATTAAAACAAAAATTTTTTTTAAAGGGTACAGAAAAATAAATAGATTAAATAATAGAAAATAAAATAATATGAATTACATTATCAGAGTTACCAAATGTTCCGTTTGGACATTAAGACACACATGCTCCAGCTTAGTTAATAAAGCCATTACATTATTGGTTGCAGTCAGCACCTCCAAAACCTGGATTACACAAGCATTATCCTCTAATGCAAATACCATTGTAAGTACAAAAGTTTACACACTATTAATCATCACATAGTCTTGGAATATTAGATGGACATGTTATTTGGCCTAATTTAGTTCCTTAATAGACTACATCCTTTAAATTTCCTTAATCACTAGTTCCACAAACGACTTGAGTATTAGGAATTTGAGAGAAACTAATTGTTAGTTATGATTTATCAGGAGAACACTAAGTAAAATGGCATCTAAGTTTATCATCGTAGTTATTTTATTTAGCAGTAGGACTGTAAACAGTAGAAGCAAAACATTTAGAATTGTAAGAAAAATCATTTGAAGTATCAGTGTAATATGATGGAGGATTCGCTTATTAACTTTAATTAGCTATATCGCTACATAAAAGATTAGTATAAATCTCAGCTACATTGCAACTGTCACCAAAAGCATCACTATTTGCCCCTTAGCCTTATCCGTCACCCCAAAAAGAGCAAGCTGTTTAACCGGAATTTACAAACTCTTCATATTGAGTAGAACTTTTGCAAGCATTTTGGAAGAAATCGCAACCTTTACCTTTTCCCCAATAGATAGGATCAGTTAAATTTTCATTTACATCGTCCCAATATCCAGTATCTTTGAGAAGAGAGACACTAAAGATACTTAAATTAAAGCCTTCAACAAGAACAGAAGCTGTCATTATTTCACTTCTGATAACTGTTCTTTCCCAATGTGAGTTCTTAGATCCTGAATCACCCTAAATAATTTAAAAAAAGTAAATAAAATTCAAACAATAAAATAGAATCAATTTTTATAATCTTATATTTAAAGTAAGCATATCCTAATTACTTAATTTTCTAATTGCATTCCTTGTAAGGTCTGGCAACCATAGTATTTTTGGGCTGTAGCTAAAACATTTGGAGATCCTAATAAACTTGTCTATATTCCTCTAAGAGTTTAAGTAGTAATTAATTTGTCTGCTGCTTCTTAGCCTAATAGTTAATTAGTAGCTTTATTATACCAGTTCTTCATCGCATCATCAGAAAAGCCAAGGATATGGATGACTTCATGTAATGTTGCCATAACATCATTTTAATATTTCTCCAGATTAGTACCAGAATTCTTCATATTAGCAATGTTAAATTAGACTCTTCCAAAATTTGGTCTTATATATGTAGAGCTACGCTAAAGATTACAAGAGGCTGCATTTGCTACATATCCTTCCTTTGGTTCATTATTAAAAATGAAATACAAATGAAGATCTGACTAAGGAATACCTGTGGTTTAATCATTTTATGAAGGAATAACTTCGAGACAAGTACTAAATTATGAAGTATCAAATTTATTATTGCTAAGGTTTGGTTAAACTTTGATGAAATTAGAAAGAAAATTAGCAACAGTAGTTGAGACAGAAATTAAATATTTCATTTAATCATCTGAGATAGCTGGGCCTCCTGGTTGTGAGGATAAACGAGAAAAGTCTGTTGTAACTCTGATAGGTTAAATAGTTTAAGCGCCTAGATTTCTATCTTAATTATCTATAGAATAGTCAACAGGATTCTATTTAAAGTATTCATGAAGCTTTCTTTAAGTTTCTTTAATTTTATCATTAAAACCATGTGAGCAAGAGTGTCCATTATGAGCAAATACATAATTATTAGTTGCAAAAAAGAACAAGAAAATCAAAATATTGAAAAGAGCAGTTCTTCTAAAGCTAATCATTTTTTTAAGATTTTTTTGTTTTTCTTACTTTTTAATCTTTCTGAGTAGAATTTATTATTTGATTAAGTATAATATTTTGTGTGTGTATTAGTATTTAAAGACCAACAATTAAGTCTAAGATATATATTCATTACAATAAAAAACAATCAATTTGTTAATAAATCAAAATTTGACTTTTCTAAACTATAACCATACAAAAGTAAAAAAAATGAGTATTTAATTAAATAAATTTTTATTTAAATTACCACTAAATTAAAAAAAAATACAAACATAGAAGTGCTTCAAAAAAAAATATTTTTTATTTTTTTAAAACATGACATTTATAGGTTTCAGTAATAAACATTATTTTAAATTTCGATATATTAAAACCCCACCTCAGTTTTTGCGTATATTAATAATGGTTGTTAATAGATAACTAAAATAAAGTTAAAGTTAGAAATAAAAATATTATCCATATATTTTATGTTTTATTTCTAAGGTTGAATTAGGAAATTAAATTTTTTGTAATCTCGTATTTACCTTTAGAGCATTAAGTATATTTTTAATTAGATTCATCTAAAAATAACCTTAATCGCATTATACTGCACAAGGATTAGCTATTAATAAAATCCTTAGTTACTAAATGAATAAAAAATACCAGAATGTATGTGTGATTAATTACTGATTGATTAATTTCTTTAAAATACTTTGGGAATGAAATAGAAAAAAAATTTATTTCATTTTGAATTTTGAGATAAATTAATGATTGATTACAAATACAAAACATGAATTTTAAAAATTTGTATTTTTTTTGTAACTTAATTAGAATCTAAATTCTTCAGAAAAAAAATCAAATAATTTATGGTATTTAGCAGATTGAATTCAAAATTTTTATATGATTTGACATAATGAGGAAGCAAATTTAACTAAAATCTAATTAAATATGTGAAAAAAAATGCCAAATTTATGATATACACAATAAAATTAATATTCCATATTCAAATAAAAAATTTTACAAAAATTTAAAAGAATAAAATGAATTTAAAAAAATGTTAACCAGATATTTTAAGTATTTGTTCTATTTGAAGATTGAGTAAGAAATTTATTTTTTTATAGTCTCGCATTGCATTTAGATGAATAAAGAATTTGAATAGATAATAACATACTGATAGATAATTTACCTTACAATATTTTATAAAATGAAATAGAAAGAAACTTGTATTATTTAGAGATAAACTCATGATTAATTACAAATTATAATAATTTGTATTTTTCTTGCAACTTATTGAGATAATCAAAATCTTTAATAAACTAGACAAATTTTTTACAATAGATATTTAGTTTATCGAATTCCAAATCCTTAATAAAGAAGCAAGTTTAACTAATATCTAATTAAAATTCGAAAAAATTCAAAACTTATTAATTCTAATATAAAATTTAAATTTCATTTTTTCAAATTTAACTTTTTACCAGAATTTAAAAGAAAAAAATTCATAACTTGCAAACTAAAAATGAATTAATAACTGAAGTTATGTTTATTAACATTCATGAGAATAATTAATAGATATTTAAACTTTTTGTTCCATTTTAATAATATATAAATATTACTTTTATTATTTAAAATCATATATTAGTTCAAACCACAATATTTTAAAAAATGATTATAAGAATTTATTTTAACTTTGAGTAAATCTATTTAATTCTTTTGATTGTTTTAATAATTTTATTTTCTAAAATATAACAAATCTAAGATTTTTCAAAAATATCAATGAACAACTGCCTTAATCAAAAAAGTATTGTTTTCTAAATAATTTCTAATTTTATGAAAATCCTTCTATTTTGAAGTAATTGACTTTGATATAATTTAAAAATTTTATATCTACTCCAAAAACTTTTATTCTAAAAATTTAAAATGAATTTAATAATATCTTTTCAAATTTTGGTAGATTATATTAAGTATATTTTAAATAATAATTTAAAAATAAAAAATTATATTATTTAATTTAAATAAAAATTATCCATAAATCTATTTTATCTTTGCTTAACTATTAAATTTTAACATACTTTGTATAAATTTCATTCAAAAAATAGATAAAAATTAATTAAAAATCTTTGATGTATAAAGTTATTTGTTCCTAGATAAAAAAATTGAAACTTGATATTTCAAAATAATAAATAAATAAATTTAAAGGCATATTATTAGATTTTTATCTAATAAAACTAAGAATAAAGAAAATAAATGAAATTTAGAGAGTTTTTAAAAATAAATTATCATAAATAATATTTTTCATCTTTATTTAAATAATTAGATTATTGCCTTTCTTTAATAATAATTAAGATTAAGTGTTAATTTTTTAATTATATCATATTTTTATTATTTTTACTAAAATATATTATAAAACTTAAAAAAACTTATTATTTTTAACTTTATTTAAAAAAAGTATTTTTTTGATAAAGTTTGCTTAATTGGTAATTGATCAAAAAGATAATACTATCAATATAACCAAAAATAGTATTGCAAACTATTATATAAAAGCTTAAGTTTCCATATTAACTTAAGTACAAATTTAGTTCTTGTTTGTGAACCCTTGTGGACATGCTGCAACACAGCTATTTTAAGACAAGATCTATTTATTTTATTTTAAAATTAATATTAGTATTTAATTATAAAAAGGGAAAGACAAATATTTCAATTTATTTAAAAAAATAGTTTTGTTACATAATTATTAGAGCAAGCTGAGCAGCTAGTAGGTCCAGAGCAAGCACTACAATTAGAAGGACATTATGTGCACATCTAATTAGATTAATTGGCAAAATATCCTTAATTACATTAAGCTACACAAGTAGAACCTTATAAATAAAAGCTTTAATTACATGAAGTACATGTTTTAGGCTAAAATGCACCTTTACATGTAGAGCAAGGAGAAAAGCAAGAAGATTAGGAAATGCAAATTTATACATTATTATATGTATATAGCTGATAGTTGGCATTACAAGAAATACACTAATTTCCATCTAAGCATTAATTGCATCCATTAATGCATGGAGAGCAAGTATAGTTTGGACCATTGTAAAATCCATTTGTACAAGTAGAGACACATTGATTATTTAATAAATACATGTTATTCTCACAAGATAAACAAATGTTAGGATTTATCTAAGAGCAAGTAGCGCAAGGTGATACACAAAGAGTACAAGAACTACCTTAAAGTCTATATCCATTTAGACTATCACATTTTGTGCAAGTCTTAGCATCAGAACAACTAATACAACCAGCTGGACATGCACTACAAGTCATATTTGAATTATTTTAGAAATACCCTGAAGGGCATGAAGAGACACATGTATTTTGAGGAGATACATAAAGACCACCTATGCAAGAAATGCATTATGTGGGATCAGAAGTACATGAAGCACATGGAGCTGCACATTAAACAGCTGTACATTTTTGCCCAGACAACTAAAACCCATTTTGGCATTAGCTGCAAATAGTAGAACTAGAGCATTTAGAACATCCGTTAGGACAGTTTTAGCAAGTTTTTGAAGTTTGATCAGCATATGTGCCATCAGAACATATTAAAACGCAGTTATTTTATTACAAGTACTTTTTTAAGGAAAAAAATTTTAATAACAATTTAAATAAATTTAACTTGAAAAAAATTACATAATTATTAGAACATGAAGTGCAACTTGCTGTATTTGAGCATTTAGCACAACCATTAGAGCATTAAGTACATCTTTAATTAGATTAATCTAAAAAATAACCTTAATCACATTAGGCTACACAAGAGTTAGCTTGTAAATAAAATCCTTAGTTACAAGATGCACAAGTGGTTGGTTGGAATGTTCCAACGCATGTAGAGCAAGGAGAAAAGCAAGAAGATGAACTGATACAAATTTAAACATTATTTTAAGTGAATAGTTTATAATTATTACTACATGAAGTACATGATACTCCATCAGAACATTAGCTGCAACCACTAATACATTGAGAGCAAGTATAATTTGGTCCATTGTAATATCCATTTGTACAAGAAGAAACACATTAATTGTTTACTAAATACATTTTATTTTCACATGACAAGCAAGAATTAGGATTAGAAGTAGAACAGGTTGCGCATGGTGACACACAAAGAGTGCAAGAATTATCTTAAAGCCTATATCCGTTTGAATCATCACATTTTGTGCAAGTCTTAGCATCAGAGCAACTAATACAACCAATTTGACATGCAGTGCAAGTCATATTCGAATTATTTTAGAAATATCCTGTCGGGCATGTAGAAATGCATGTGTTCTAAGGAGATATATAGAGATTACCTATACAAGTAGTACAATGTGATGGATCAGAAGTACATGAAGCACAAGGGCTTGTACATTAAGCAGATGTACATTTTTATCCTTACAACTAATACCCATTTTGGCATTAACTACAAATAGTATAACTAGTGCATTTAGAGCATCCGTTAGGACAGTTTTAGCAAGTTTTTGAACTTTGATCTGCATATGTTCCATCAGGGCAAGTTTAAACACAGTTATTTTGTAGCAAAAACTTTTTTTATAATAATGAAATTATTTTTAATGAAAATTTTTATTATTGAAAGAATTAATTAAATTTATCAAGAAAAAATGATTACATAATTATTTGTACATTCTGTGCAAGTAGTCGAATTTGAGCATTTAGCACAACCATTAGAGCATTAAGTGCATATTTGATTATTTAAAAAATAACCTTAATCACATTAAGCTACACAAGTGTTAGCTTGCAAATAGAATCCTTAGTTACAAGATGCACAAGTGGTTGGTTGGAATGCTCCAATGCATGTAGAGCAAGGAGAAAAGCAAGAAGATGAACTGATACAAATTTAAACATTATTTTAAGTGAATAGTTTATAATTATTACTACATGAAGTACATGATACTCCATCAGAACATTAGCTGCAACCACTAATACATTGAGAGCAAGTATAATTTGGTCCATTGTAATATCCATTTGTACAAGAAGAAACACATTAATTGTTTAC